GAGGGCAGATACAGCTGCTACATCAGCACCATTAATACAGAAAAGGATTCATTTATCAACCTCAAAGTGCACAGTATGACAAATCTGAGGTTTTGGGGGATTTTCTTTTCTTTTAAGTGCTCGATATTTCAAAAGATTTATACCAACCTCTAATATATGTAGCAGTTGTAGTGTTATGTTGAAAAGCCACAGGTTTACTCTGTGTTTTTCAGCCCCAGTCAAAGTCAGCATTCAGCATGCAGGAAACAGGATCACCTGCAGCTCAGAGGGCATCTACCCTAAACCTGAGCTCACCTGGTCAACCAGACCTCCATCCAAGGTGAGCTTCAAGAATACAACAACAGTCGAGCAGACCAAGCAGCAGCTCTACAACATCAACGGTTCTTTGATAGCTTCACTCAATGAAAGTGATCGAGTCTACAGCTGCACTATGAGCACTCAGAGAAACTGGAGGAGAGCCAGTCTGAGGCAGCTACGTGAGTATGACCTCTCATATGAGCTAGGAAATGAGGTTGAAAGCTGCTTATTGTTGAATACTGAAACACATGCATTGGATTTACACAGAAGCACTTCATGTGTAGGCTGTTCATCTATACCTGGCATATGCTCAACCTTCTTCTGTGTTGTTTCAGCTTCAGTTACTGGCAGCTTCACTGAAACCACAATCCCCTGCCCTAGCTTTAACACTTCTCCAACAAGCCTCATTTGGAGATTCCTTAATCGTGCAATTTTGGAAAAGACTGGGTCTGGTTCCAACTACACAGTCTCAAAGGAGTGGAAGCAGCATGTGAAGGCTGTATCAGAGTTGGGAAGCCTCACATTACTGGGCTTATCTTCAGAGAAGGAGGGAATATACACATGTGAGATTAGTAATGTTGAGGAGATGCTGATTAATTACACCATTATTCGAATAAGTCAAGGTAAAGGGATTTATGTTGCATCCTTCTAATCCACAAAAGCAAGAATCATTCAAAACTTTTAAAATCTCTTTGACGTACAAACAAAATAAACATATTAAGGCATCCAGGAGAAATTTAAAAATCAGATTCTTTTACTGTTTCAGGAAATACACACATGACTATTATAGCAATTACTGCAGGGGTGGTAGTACTCGTATGCATCCTATCGTCAGTCTGCCTGGTGCTGTACTGCAAAAGGAAAAGAGGTAAAAGTACATTCTGCCTGTACTACTGAAATAATTTGTATATTTGTATCAATCTTATGAATCTTAAAAATGTCTCAGGTCAGCAAGAAAACAGCATGACAGCGTCAGAGAGTGGTGAACCCAACATGTAAGTAAATATTGTGAATAAAAATGCACACCGTGCTATTAGTTATCATATTGGAGAACATTTTTATCATGGAGTTAGGACCAGTTTTCTCACACGTGAATCTAAATATTCCCTAGAGCCAGTTTAGTCAAATAAGAATTCCCTACTTGAGATCTTACTTTGATGAATTCAGCTTAGCCAAAATAATTTCAGTAAAAAGTTCCAAAATAAGAGTTCAAAAACTCCAGTCTGACAAATGGAAATTCAAACAATAAAGATGAATTCTAATCGTTGTAATGCTTTTACCTCAATTTCAGTTAACAGAGAAGTTGAACTTCATGGATTTAAAGAAGCAAAGTCTCCTGTGAGCTGTTAATACACCAAACATCCCTCTGATTCATCCAACTAAAGATTGCATAACTTAATAACTGAATTTTAAGAAATGTTTGATATGTAAGAGTAAACCACAGCAAGATGAAGAAAAAAATGATCTTCTGCAGTGGGAAGCCAACTGTCAGCCAGGCACATGAATGTTTTATGCAGTAAAATAATGTGAAAGGAAGCTATTCGGCTTCACATTTGATTGATGGAACTGGAAGTGACCTCATCCCAGTTACCACTATGACTGAGATATTTTACACTTTCACCTACAAACTGCATGATTTTTAACTACTAGCTGCAGGTTTTATTGTCATAATAAAAATGTGATGGACAATCAGGTTTTTGACTTTTTAAAATATTTTTGTATTTAGTTTATCTATTTACATCTGTGTTTGGGTTTCTAAGATAAGAGCATTGATATCTGCATGCTGGAAAGATTTCTATGGGACTACAAAATTATGACAACAGACTACTACGGGTACCAAAGATTTTGTAACCATCTACATCACCTCAGTCATTACCAAAGGCAATTCTATATGTGCTTAACTTTTCAGCTATGTCCAACATTTGGTCCATAGTGATCATAAACAAAAGCTCTATAAACACATCAGCTGAGGCCTACTGATACGGATAAGCCTTGAAGATCAAGATTCAATTTTATTTTTACAGTGCCAAGAAACAACAGTCGCCTCAAGGTGCTTTTTATTGTTAGGTAGACCCTACAATACACAACGATTAAATGGCTGGACCAAATTTTTCTCTCAAAGCAACATGAATGAGTGAAGAGTGAAGCAGGTGACTGACAGGAGGACTGATGGAGCATCTCCAGTGATCTGGGCTCTGTGTTGATGTCCTGTGTTTCCTTCTGTAATCAAACAATAACAAGGGTCTTTGCTCTCCATGTGACACTAATGTTTGGATTAAAACTTTAAGTCGCTGTCTTTACACACAGCTCTTTTCACACCGGTGTGCTGGTCCTCTCCAGTCCCAGCATATACACTATATGGTCAGTGATGACACTTCTGTGACATCATTGACCATGCGGCTCATAGAGGTGCCATTTAACCGCAGTGTAGTTGGTTTCATGGTGTTTCATGGTGGTCTTACATGTGTACTTGACCTGACAGAATTCAGGTCAAGTACAAGTGTTAATGTAGCTGATTATCATGGTCCCATAAGAGCACTAAAATCTGAGTATTATGCTGTACATAAATGAATTTGAATGGAGTGAACTGTTGAGCAAAAGACCTTCCACACTGGTCCCAGCTGAATCGTTCAACTTCAGCGTACATGATAAAATTCAAATTGTTTTTCTAAGCAGTGAGGGAACTTTGGAAAATGAGCTAAAGATGAAGTTCAATTCTGTATTTTAAACCCATTTGACTAAAACATGAATTCAGTTTGATCAGGACTGCACAACCTTTACACTGCAAAAAATGTTTTATTTGGGTTTTGGGCAATCAGACTCCCATTTTCACTGTCCAATGCCCTGAATAAAGAGTAAATATGTAAAAACAAAATGGACACGAAGATAGTTACAAACAGGATGCAATGATTTAAAAGCTTATAAAGACATGTTTTACACATGATAAAATGTTGAAAACAAAAACTGATAAAAAAAAAAATGTACAATTATAAGAAAAAAAGAACATTTTGAATTTTATGGCAACAACACACCAATAAACTGGGGCATGGACCTCATTAATGTAGCAACTAGCAGCTTATGCTAACAATAAAATAATAGTGTTAATTTGGCAGTTTGTAGCATCAACAGACAGTGTTCATGTAACAGTTTTATGTTAAATGAACACCAGAGAACCAGAGAAAAATCTACCAGCAACAAACAGTCAACGCTCACCACACCTATGTGACCAGCAACCAAACCAGAGTCCCAAGAAGCACAAGAAATAAACAATAGCTCAATAAACTTGCATGAACCACTATTAATCTACCAAGTATTGCTTTTTACTTACAAAATAACAAACAAAGTAAAAATACAGAGGTACTGTTTCAATCTGCTTGAAAGCTTCAAAAATGTTTTAACGAACGCATACAGGAACTCTGTCCCTTGTTCTCATATTTTGTTCGTCGAGTTGACCTGAAACACCTGAAGCGAAACGATAGTAACTGAGTTGGTAGCAATACTTCATGGTGCTGTGACCGCAATAAAATCTTCTAAACAAGTGTTACACAAAACATAACTGAAGTCAGTGAACAGCAATAGATTTGCACCAATATCTGATCCAACTTGTTGACTCATTTGGATCAGACTGATCTACCAACCAAACGTAGAACTGGTGCATTTCTAGTCACAACTTTAAGGTTTTGCTTTACTGTGGATGGGCTGATGTTGTTTCAAGTGACCCTTCACAGTAAAAGACTTCCCACAGTTACCACACATGAATGGTTTAACTCCAGCATGGATGAGTTGGTGTGATTTTAAGTTCCTTTGGTGAGTAAAACACTTTCCACACTCATCACAGGTGAATGGTTTAACTCCAGCATGAGTAAGTTGGTGTGATTTTAAGGCACTTTGCGAAGTAAAAGACTTTCCACACTGGTAACAGCTGAATGGTTTAACTCCAGCATGGATAAGTTGATGTGATTTTAAGGCACTTTGCCGAGTAAAAGACTTTCCACATTCACCACAGCTGAATGGTTTAATTCCTGCATGGATGAGTTGGTGTGATTTTAAGGCACTTTGCCGAGTAAAACACTTTCCACACTGACCACAGCTGAATGGTTTAATTCCTGCATGGATGAGTTGGTGTGATTTTAAGGCACTTTGCCGAGTAAAACACTTTCCACACTGGTCACAGCTGAATGGTTTAACCCCAGTGTGGATGAGCTTATGCCTCGTCAAGTTACTCTTTGTAGTAAAAGATTTTCCACAGTCAACACAAGAGAAGCATCTTTTCTTATTGTGGAAACATTGGTGTCTCCCGAGCTGCCTCCTTGTGATAAAGCTCTTTGCACGAAGACCACAAGTGAATGATTTCTCTCTCTTTGCTTGTGTGAGGTTAGCATTGTCATCATCGGAAGAGTGCCGAGGTCTCTGTCGGTTGTTGCTTCTTTGTTCCTGTAGTGACAGAGAAACAAACCAATGAGATGCAGTAAAGGAAAAAGGGTAACCTATGACGTGGATGAAGTTAATGCAGTTTGATACCAGAGTTATCAAACTACACTGTGCAGAGTTACTAGCATCTATATAAGACTCTGCTCAGGTACATCAATTCATATATTTTCTTTTGTTTATCTAATTCAGGGTAGCAGTTAGGCTGAAACCTATCCCAGGTGACCCTGGTTGAGATGGGAGGTACACACTGGACACCAGTCCAGTACACCAATCAATTGCAGAGCGAACACAGAGAGAAAAACAGCCATTCACACCTACAGCCAGGTTACAATTTGCATTTAAGGAAGCCAGAGCACCCGGAGAGAACCCATATACACAAGGGAAGAACATGAAGACTTCATTCCAGTGGATTTGAACCCAAGGATCTTTTTGATGTTAGGCGATTGTGCTAACCACCACCGGCCACCCTCAGACACAAATAATAAATATTTATTAGGTTTATCGATTTCAATTTCTCCCACTTTACTTTTGGAATAGTCACTGTGGGTTACCTGTGTCAAAAGGTTCATTTAAAAAACATAATTTAATCTTAAGTTTGATGAAAATGTCACTTAAAGTACAGAGTTTAAAATCTCACTGCTACATGTCAGCAACAGACTGCAGTCAACTAAATTCTGTCTTCTTATCCCTCCTACTTTAAGTTCATAGTGCTACCTATCACGGCCGCTGTAGGACAAACATCTATCTGTAGCGAGTGTAGGCTGTCATGTCACTCTGACGTTTACATCACCTGGTGTCTGTCTGTATTTACTCTGGAGGAGGATGTAAATCATAGTAAAAGGAGTCTGATAGTCAGTGAAGCTCACCTCTGACATGTGACAGCAATAGGGAGTCGAGTTGTTGAGAATATTCTGTCCGTTTCTTTGCAAGCTCCTTTGATTCTGTCCGTAAGTGTTGCTGCGAGCTGGCCAGTGTTAAGCAGTTCTACAAACATTTCTTAAAAGTTCTTCGAACTCAATCGAACAATGCTGGACTCAGACACTTAGGAAACAAACTCTCATACAATCTGAAAGTGTAATGTGGTCAGCAGAGGAAAAGATTCTTATTTATTCCAGATATTGTTACAATTTCCAATTTTTCTGCAGATTATACATCTGACCCTCACCTCAGCATAGCGGTCACAGGAGTGAGCCTCACTGACTCCCTCTAAATAAAATCCATTCAAAGTTTTGCCTCATCCACAGTAAATAGTGGATGTTCCAATGGCATTATCAAGTAAACGGTGATCTGATAGCGTGCACCCACTAAATAAACGCCAGGCAGAACATTTGAAGTTACTCTGGGGTGACTGAGTAAAATAAAATTTAAAATATCACAAAATATTTAATTGTCACATATAGAGTACAGAGGGAAGATAATATAGTAGCTTCCACAAACCAGTGCCCAATTCTACGTTTATGAGAACGCATCAGTTTGTTGGAAGATGAAAATTATACACATATTTATGAGCAAAACATTCTGCTGTTATGTAATTGCAACAAAAGAAATACTTGCTGCACCTTTAAATGTAATTTAAATGCAGTTTATGAAGAATGTGAATAAGACATGCATTGTGCTTGACTTTTTTTAATTGACAAATATTCTTTTGCTTTTACTGAATAAGTTACAGGTTTTAAACAGCTGTCTAACAACAACAGATGTTCAACAGATACACACAATAACATTAACAAAAGACAGATTTTTTTTACCTTTTGTGAAGAATCCATTCAAGTCTCCTCTTCCTATCACCAATCACCTGTGACATTAAACACATTGGAATTACCAGCACCGATTAACCAACCAGCGGGCCGGATTAGAGTAATGACTTATGTTTGAAACCCCTGAGCTTCATGCAAATTTGACTGTTGGGATGGACATCCAACAAAACTCTGCAGATACATTTTGTGCATCCACAAATACCAGTTGAGGCAGATAATATAATTTGAAAATTAAACTGAATGCTAATTAATGCCCCTCAGTCCAGCAGGTCCAGCAGGTCCAAATCCATCTGAACCCAAGAGCCAAGCTTTTGGGTCTGCGGGTGGCTTTAAAGGAGGTCATCCTGAGGGTTGAATCCTGGGAATACTGATCCCTCCTTGCAGGAATCACTTCTGTACAAAGTTCAACTTATTTTTCATCACAATAGCAACAGATCAGGTCTTAGTGAAAGCTGCAAGAGCATTCAGCAAACTAAAAGTCACAAAGGCTCTGAGACCATACTCACACAATCGCAGAAATAACACTTAAGTACAGTTTGGTTAAAACATTCAAATAATTCAAACAAATAATAGAAAACACCCTCACACAATAATAATACCTAGTTCTGATGGTTCTGCTGCTTTTCCAGATTACTCCAGGAAAAAAAAACAACCACAATCAACAATCACAGCAAGTTTTCAAATGTATAAAAATAACTATCTATGACAAAACTACAAAGGCTCTCCTCACCTTTAGAGGAGGCCAGGGCACAAACTGAGAAAAACTCTGTGAAGAAGCTTTAACAATTTTTGGCTCATTAATCAAAGACCACAAACAGCTTTTCTCACCTCTGCAGATAAACAGACATTACCAACTCGGTTCTCCACCAAGAATTCTCCAGGTGAACAACTTTGGTTTGATTGGAGGTTGTTCCACCAGTTCAGAGCTGATTTGGCTCCACCTGCTGGTCTGGAGTTTAAAGCAACAAGCAGGAAGATAAAAGTTCTCTTCTTAGTTCTGCTGACAAACGGTGAAAGGTAATTTACTCAAATACTGGAGCCTACTTATGGACAAACTTGGGCCCCCTTTGTTACTGTTTCTACACCTTATTTTTTAATTTGGAAAATGCATACATGCCTATTATAGTAATTACTGCAGGGGTTTGCTATACTGCAAAAGGAAAAGAAGTAAAACTAGGTTCTGTCTGAACTTGTGGAATAATTTGTATATTTGTATTGATCTTATGGATGTAAAAGATGCATGACAGTGTCAGACAGTGGTGAAACCAATATGTCAGTAAATCTTAGAGTTCAAAAGCCCCTTCAATCTGGAAATTCAAAAAATACAGATGAATTCTAATCGTTGTAATGCGTTTTTCCCTCAATTTCAGTTAACAGAGAAGTTGAACTTCATGGATTTAAAGAAGCAAAGTCTCCTGTGAGCTGTTAATACACCAAACGTCCCTCTGATTCATCCAACTAAAGATTCCAAACCTTAATAACTAAAAAGAAAAAAGTTTGATATGTAAGTGTAAATCAAAGGGAGCTGAAGAAAAAAGGATCTTCCGCAGTGGGTACCCAAGTGTCGCCCGGCAACGTGAATGTTTTATGCATTACAATAATGTGAAAGGAAGTTAATCGGCTTCACGTTTGATTGATGGAACTGAAGGTGACCTCGTC